CCTCCTTCTAGCGTTGTTTTTGCTCGAATTGACCATTTCCCATTTAATTTCAAAATAATTCCAATTTATTCAGTTATATTAAGAAAATTTTCAATTGCCTATTATCTCAATTGGTAAAAGTGTCAAACTGACAATACTGGTTGGAGCTTGAAGGTCCATCTAGTAGGAATAACTCCAATTGGTTAGAGCATTTAGCTTTTAACCGTAAGGTCCGAGGTTCAAAGCCCTGCTTGAGCGATGTTTTATCTTTGGTTATCCATTTGCCATTTACTTTCGAAACAATACCAATTTATACAGTTATATAAATAAAATTTTCAAAGGCCTATTAGCACATTTGTTAAAAGTGTCAAACTGACAATACTGGTTTGAAGTTAAAGGTCCAACAAACTGGAATAGCTCTATTGGTTAGAGCGTGTGGCATTAACCACAAGGTCAGAGGTTCAAGACCTTCTTCTAGTGTTGTTTTAATTTGAATAGTCCATTTCCCATTTACTTTCAAAATATTACCAATTTATACAATTATATAAAGAAAATTTTCAATGGCCTAATAGCTCTGTTGGTAAAATTGTCAAACTAATAATACTGGTTGGAGCTTAAAGGTCCAACTAGTTAGAATAGCTCAGTTGATTAGACCGTGTGGCTGTTAACCACAAGTTCAGAGGTTCAAGCCCTACATCTAACATTGTTTTAGCTCGGATTGTTAATTTCTCATTTACTTTCAAAATATTACCAATTTATATAATTATATTAAAAAAATTATAATAGACTATTAACTCTGTTAGTAAAATTTTCAAACTGATAATATTAGTTGGAGTTTAAAGGTCCAACTAGCTGGAATAACTAAGATGGTTAGAGCATGTGGTTGTTAACCACAAGGTCTGAGGTTCAATCCCTCATTCTAGCATTGTTTTAGCTCGAATTGACCATTTCCCATTTACTTTCAAAATAATTCCAATTTATAAAATTATATAAAGAAAAGTTTCAATTGCCTATTAGCTCAATTGGTAAAAGTGTCAAACTAACAATACTGGTTGGAGCTTGATGGTCCAACTACTAGGAATAAGTCCAATTGGTTAGAGAATTTGGCTTTTAACCGTAAGGTCCGAGGTTCAAAGCCCTCATTCTAGCGATGTTTTAACTCTGATTATACATTTCCCATTTACTTTCAAAATAATCCAAATTTATACAGTTATATAAAGAAAATTTTAAAAGGCCTACTAGCACATTTGTTAAAAGTGTCAAACTGACAATACTGGTTGGAGCTTAAAGGTCTAACCAGCTAGAATAACTTAGTTGGTTAGAGCGTGTGACATTAACCACAAGGTCAGTGGTTTAAGCCCTTTTTCTAGTGTTATTTTAATTTGAATTGCCCATTTCCCATTTACTTTAAAAATATTACCAATTTATAAAATTTTATAAAAAAAAATTCAAATGCCTATTAGTTTTGTTGGTAAAATTGTCAAACTGATAATACAGGTTGGAGCTTAAAGGTCCAACTAGTTAGAATAACTCAGTTGGTTAGAACGTGTGGCTGTTAACCACAAGGTCGGAGGTTGAATCCCTCATTCTAGCATTGTTTTAGCTCAGATTGACCATTTCTCTTTTACTTTCAAAATAATATCAATTTATATAATTATATTAAAAAAATCAACGGGCTATTAGCTCTTTTGGTAAAATTTCCAAACTGATAATACTGGTTGAAGCTTAAAGGTTCAATTAGCTGGAATAGCTCAGTTGGTTAGAGCATGTGGTTGTTAACAACAAGGTCAGAGGTTCAAGCCCTCCTTCTAGCGTTGTTTTATTTTGAACTGTCCATTTTCCATTTACTTTCAAAATATTACCTATTTATACAATTATATAAAGAAAATTTTCAATGGCCTATTAGCTCTTGGTAAAATTTTGAAACTGATAGTACATGTTTGAGCTTAAAGGAGCAATTAGTTGGAATAGCTCAGTTGGTTTGAGCGTATTGCTGTTAACCCCAAGGTCAGAGGTTTAAGCCCTCCTGCTAGTGTTGTTTTAGCTTGGATTGTCCATTTTCCATTTTCTTTCAAAATATTACCAATTTATACAATTATATAAATAAAATTTTCAATTGTCTATTAGCTCAGTTGGTAAAAGTGTCAAACTGACAATACTGGTTGGAGCTTGAAGGTCCAACTAGTTGGAATAGCTCAATTGGTTAGAGCGTTTGGATGTTAACTCGGAGGTTCAAGCCCTCCTTCTAGAGTTGTTTTAACTTGGATTGTCCATTTCCCATTTACTTTTAAAATATTACCAATTTATACAATTATGTAAAGAAACATTTCAATGGCCTATTAGCTCTATTGGTAAAATTGTCAAACTGATAATACTGGGTGGAGCTTAAAAAGGTCAAAGAAACTGGAATAGCTCAGTTGGTTAGAGCGTGTGGCTGTTAACCACAAGGTCGGGAGGTTCAAGGCCTCCTTCTAGCGTTGTTTTATTTTGAATTGTCCATTTCCCATTTACTTTCAAAATATTGCTAATTTATACAGTTATATAATGAAAATTTTGAATGGCCTATTAGCTTAGTTGGTTAGAGCGTGTTGCTGTTAACCACAAGGTCGGATGTTTAAGCCCTCCTTTTAGTGTTGTTTTAATTTGAATTGTTCATTTCCCATTAACTTTCAAAATATTAGCAATTTATACAGTTATATAATGAAAATTTTCAACGGCCTATTCACTAAGGTGGTAAAAGTGTCAAACTAACAATATTGGCTAGAGATTAAAGGTCCAATTAGCTGGAATAACTCAGTTGGTTAGAGCATGTAGCTATTAACCACAAGGTCAGAGTTTCAAGCCCTCATTCTAGCGTTGTTTTAATTTGAATTGTCCATTTCCCATTAACTTTCAAAATATTACCAATTTATACAGTTATATAATGAAAATTTTCAACGGCGTATTAGCTCAGTTGGTCAAAGTGTCAAACTAACAATATTTGTTGGAGATTAAAGGTCCAACTAGCTAGAATAGCTTATTTGGTTAGACCGTGTGGTTGTTAACCACAAGGTCGGAGGTTCAACCCTTCTTCTAGCGTTGTTTTAGATCGGATTGACCATTTCTCATTTACTTTCAAAATAATACCAATTTATACAATTATATTTAATGGTCCAATTAGCTGAATAGCTTAGTTGGTTAGATTGTGTGGCTGTTAACCACAAGGTCGGAGGTTTATGCCCTCCTTCTAGCGTTGTTTTAAGTTGGATTGTTCATTTCCCATTTACTTTCAAAATATTACCAATTTATACAATTATATAAAGAAAACTTTCAATGGCCTATTAACTCAGTTGGTAAAAGTGTCAAACTAATAATACTGGTTGGAGTTTGAAGGTCCAGCTAGCTGGAATAACTCAGTTGGCTAGAGTGTTTGGTTGTTAACCACATGGTCGGAGGTTTAAGCCCTCCTTCTAGCGTTGTTTTAATTTGAATTGTCCATTTCTCATTTACTTTCAAAATATTTCCAATTTATACAGTTATATAATGAAAATTTTCAATGGCCTATTAGCTTGGTTGGTAAAAGTGTCAAACTGACAATACTGGTTGGAGCTTAAAGGTCCAACTAGCTGGAATAGCTTAGTTGGTTAGAGTGTGTGGCTGTTAACCACAAGGCCAAAGGTTCAAGCCATCATTCTAGCATTGTTTTAATTTGAATTGTCATTTTCCCATTTACTTTCAAAATATTACCAATTTATACAATTTTATAAAGAAAATTTTTAATGGCCTATTATCTCTTGGTAAAATTTTCAAACTGATAGTACATGTTTGAGCTTAAAGGATCAATTAGCTGGAATAACTCAATTGGTTTGAGCGTGTTGCTATTAACCACAAGGTCGGAGCTTCAAGCCCTCATTCTAGTGTTGTTTTAGCTCATATTGTCCATTTCCCATTTTCTTTCTAAATAATACCAATTTATACAATTATATAAAGAAAATTTTCAATTGCCTATTAGCTTAGTTTGTAAAAGTGTCAAACTGACAACACTGGTTGGAGCTTGAAGGTTCAACTTGCTGGAATGGCTTAATTGGTTAGAGCGTTTGGTTGTTAACCACATGGTTGGAGGTTCAAGCCCTCCTTATAGTGTTGTTTAACTTGGATTGTCCATTTCCGATTTACTTTCAAAAATATTACCAATTTTACAGTTATATAAAGGAAATTTTCAATGGCTTATTAGCACATTTGGTAAAAGTGTCACTGACAATACTGGTTGGAGTTCAAAATAATATCAATTTATACAATTATATAAAGAAATTTTCAACGGCCTATTAGCTCAATTGGTAAAAGTGTCAAACTGACAATACTGGTTGGAGCTTAAAGGTCCAACTAGCTAGAATAGCTCAGGTGGTTAGAGTGTGGTTGTTAACCACAAGGTTAGAGGTTCAAGCCCTCCTTATAGTATTTTTTTAATTTGAATTGTCCATTCCCATTTACTTTCAAAAATATTACCAATTTATACAATTATATAAAGAAAATTTTCAACACCTATTAGCTCTATTGGAAAAGTGTCAAACTGATAATACAAGGTTGAGCTTAATGTCCAAACTAGATGGAATAGCTTAGTGGTTAGAGCTTTTGGTTGTTAACCATATGGTCGGAGGATCAAGCCTTCTTAAGCATTGTTTTAGCTCGGAATTTCCATTTCCCCTTTATTTTCAAAATAATAACAATTTATACGTTATATAAGAAAATTTTCAATGGCCTATTAGCTCAGTGGTAAAAGTGTCAAATGACAATACTGGTTGGAGCTTGAAAGTCCAACTAGTTGAATAACGCCAATTGGTTAGAACATTTGGTTGTTAACCTCAAGGTCAGAGGTTCAAAGCCCTTCTTATAGCATTGTTTTTACTCTGATTGTCCATTTCCCATTTAATTAAAAATATTACAATTTATACTGTTATATAAAGGAAAATTTCAAATGGCCTATTAGCACATTTGGTAAAGTGTCAAACTGACAATACTGGTTGGAGCTTAAGCTTCATCTAGCTGGAATAGCTCAGTGGTTAAAGTGTGTGGTTGTTAACCACAAGGTCGAAGGTTCAAGCCCTTCTTTTAGCTTTGTAATTTAAATTGTTCATTTCCCATTACTTTCAAAATATTACCAATTTATAGTCGAAGGTTCAAGCCCCCTTCTAGCTTGTTTAATTTAAATTGTTCATTTCCCATTTACTTTCAAAAATACCAATTATATAGTTATATAAGGAAAATTTTCAATGGCCTATTAGCTTAATTGGAAAAAGTGTCAAATGACTATATTGGTTGGAGCTTGAAGACCAAACTAGTTAGAATAGCTCAGTTGGTTAGAGTTTGTGGTTTTTAACCCCCAAGGTCAGAGGTTTAAGCCCTCCTTCTAGCGTTGTTTAACTCGAATTGTCCATTTCCCATTTACTTTCAAAATATTACCAATTTATGCAGTTATTTAAGAAAGGTTTAATGGCCTATTAGCTCAGTTGGTTAGAGTGTGTGGCTCTTAACCACAAGGTCGAAGGTTTAAGCCCTTTCTAGCGTTGTTTTACTAATCTAGTCTTTTTTCACGCTTTTTTCAAACATGTCGTTTCCCTCATGACTAGTTTCTGATCAGGGAGGCAATGGTTCAACAACCAAGCATGTGGGATGAAGATAACAATCGGAATTCATCTGATGGGAACAAATGGTCTAGCCGGAGCAATGAAGAGATCAAGTTCAACCAAAGTGTTCCGATGAAGCCCCGCCCATCTTTGGGTTGGAGCAGTCGGATGTAGATGCATCATGGGGTAGGCCGTCATCAGATCTTCAGAAGTTGAAGTAGTTGAAATGTTGCAGCAGACCATTGAACTCTTTTAGTGCTGTGCTGCAGAGTAGAGCAGGAATGGGACATGGTTTTGGTTTCAGGCTGGTTATAGGAAAGGCATTTGCCGTTTAGTGGTAACTGCAACATTGTTAATGTTCCCTTTCCGCCTTAGCAATGCCTATATCATGTAGTGCTTTTCTTATTGTCCATAAATGTTTGCTCATTAACTACATCAATATTAATATAATTTAAAAATGTATTAATATTAATTAATTGCAATCCTATTTATCTTTAATATTTTTATCTATAATATAACCTAATTTAAGGTTTGACCAGGTGGTTGAGACCCTAAAATGACTAGATTGTAAAATATGTTATAATAAGACTAGATTGTAAAATATATTTATCTATGATATAATTTAAAAAGACGTGGGGATTTGTGTTGCTTTTTAAAATGAGACCCTAAAATATGTTTAATAACTAGATTGTAAAATATAAAAAATTTATCATATTATAATTATTTCTTACAAAATAAAAAATTTCAAACATATAAAATTAAGTTTTCTTCACTGAATTTTCTTCACTAGTACAACAATAAAAATAATATTTTTTGGGTTAGTAGTTCTTTTCAAAATGTGGGACCCTCACATTTAAGGTCATGTGACACGTCACAAGTTGTTCTTGTTAATGAACGGGACTAGATTAAGTGTTGAGTTATTTTTCCACGAGTCTCAAGTTCATTCCTTTAGTTAACATTTTTGTTTTATATTTTTCCTTCTATAGATATTGATATTGATATGCGTCATATTCTTATCGGGTGAAATTAAATATTAAATAAATAAATAAAAATATTGTAAATAATATTATAAAATGATATTAGATTAAATTTAAAAAATAGGGTTAATTTGATTTTAATAAATTGTTAGGGACTAACCGAATAAAAAATAAAATCTACGAAGCTCAACATCATATAACATTTTTATTAAAATCAATTGGTCAAAATTACCAAGTGATGCACTCTGATTGGCTGAAATCTTTTCACGTTATCAAAAAAGGTAGGACAATGAAAATAGTTTCTAATAGTTTAGGGGCAAAATGCCTAAAAAATAATTTAGGGGTAAAATAGTAAAAATTATATGCTTTAGGGATAAATGAGTCTTTAAGACTATATATATATATATATAATTATAATCCATTACCTACATTAGATATTATTTTTAATTTAAAATATAATAATCTACAAAATCCAGTCCTCATAATTTGACTTTGACCCCAAAAAAACGACATGTTGTATCAATGGCTTGGATTCCTCATAATTTGACTAATGTGGTTTCAAATGGCTCCACACCTTAAATTCCACCATTTTATACTTAAGGTCGGACTGTCTGTTTCTCAATGGATTAAATATTCGAGTCAAGTACACAAATGGTCCCCCGTCTCTATAAGTCATGCTTGTTGAGTCTCAGCTATTAAAAGTTACAAAATGATCCGATTATAAAGAATTGTTTTATTGAGTCTCTCGACTATTAAAAGTTACAAAATGGTCTCATGATTATATGGTGTTGTTTTGTTGAGTCTCTCGATTATTAAAAGTTATAAAATGGTTAATCGTCTGCTCATATATTTCAAACTCGTCCTTTTCCGTCAAACAATTGGCGGTCGTCTGAGCTGGACGTTAACTTGTTGATTGAGATACGATAAAATCTGATCAAAGAACCATTGAGTTGTGTTGAAAACATTTTGATATTTCGATATAACAAATTAAGTTAAATGAATTTTAAGATTTTCCAAAAAGATTTTCTAAGTATATTCGATATAATTATTCGAATAACAAAACATTACTCTAAATCTTTCAAAAGTCATTTTTAATCCTTAATCAAGTGTAAAATTAAGTTTTAATCTTAAAACAATTTCAAAATAATTTTACAAAGTATTTCGAACCGTTTCAAAGCAAAAAATTCCAGATTGCTCAGAGGGATTCGATTCCCCCTTAATGGTTTGGCTCTAAGAATTCCAGTATGCTCGGAGGGAACCGATTCCCCCCAAGGGTTACCGATTCCCCCCACTGTTCAACGGTCAAAATATTTGAATTTTACACTTAGGGAATCGATTCCCTTATGGGGTACCGATTCCCCCCACGCTCCAAGCTGTTTATTAATTAATTTCACACTAAAACGGCTATATTTTCTTCATTAATGATCTCCAACGTTCAGAAGTGATTCAAGGTGTATTTAAGCAAGCTTAGAAGCCATTGATCAATAATAAGAAACATCAAGCAACTATAATCAAGAGAGAATCAAAGAGAAAGCATCAAACCTCAAGTTTGAGCATTTCAAGCCTATTTTTCATTCAATATTCATTTTGCTTTCAAGAACACTTATTGTGCTCAATTGTATTCATTCTTGAGTGTTCTTTTCTTGTTCTAGAATTGTGCAAAGAATCGACCTTGTGAAGATTTCCTTGTAAGTTTGTAAATTTGTATTGTTCTCTTTGGGAGAGAGTGTTCTCAAGAATTTGGGGTATAATTCTTGAGGGTTTGTAAGGTTACTCTTTGTCCTCGAAAGAAAGACAAATTAGTGAATTTGTGGAAAATCCTTAGTGTGGATAGCTAAGGTAGTGGACGTAGACTTTGATTGAGAAAATCAAACCACTCTAAATCACTGTGCAATTTCTTTCAATTTTCTGCAAAAGCTTCCACCAAAATTTTTATTGCCAATTCACCCCCCTCTTGGCCGATTCCGTCAATCGATTAACTCAACAATTGGCATCAGAGCCTAACTCATTTGAAGGTTTAATTGCCTCTTGAGTCGATTCGGGAAGAGTTGCATCGATAATCCTCACTCATCCAAGATTATGGAGTGAAGAGAGACAAAAATGACCCAGCTCAACTCCAAAGCCATCCATATCATATTTTGTGCTCTTGGACCAGATGAATACGAAAGAGTTTCATCTTGTACAACCGCCAAAGAAATATGGGACAAAATTCAAGTCACTCATGAAGGTATCGATGAGGTAAAGAAATCTAAAATTAAAATCTAACACATAGCTATGAAAATTTCAGGATGAAACCAAATGAAGATATCAAAGCTATGACGGATAGATTCTCAATGATTGTCAATGGTCTCAAATCATATGGAGAGATCATTTCAAATGAAAAGCTTATGAGGAAGTTAGTCTACTCCCTCCCAAATCGTGACAATCAAAGAAGACGGCAATCATCGAGTCTAAGGATCTAACGTCCTTAACTCTTGAAGAGGTAATCGGTTCACTCCTCACTCATGAAATGATGCTTGAAGATGAGGTGGACCTTGATAAGATTGAAGAGACACCAAAGGAGAAGGAGAAGAAGAAAAACATTGGAGTTGCTCTTAAATCCATAAAAAATGAGAGTGATTCGGATGAAGATGACGAGGAAATGGCATTGTTTGCCAAACGGTTCAGAAAAATGATGAGACCTTACCGAGGAAGAAAATTCAAACGAAATGAAGGCCTAAAAATGAACCAAAAGAGAAGGACCCGATCATTTGCTATGAATGCAAAAAGCCGGGGTATGTCAAATATGATTGCCCACAATTAAAGAAAAAGGGTCGATCAAAGAATAAGCACAAGGCTAATGAGGCTACATGGAGCGAGAAGGTTCCAATGAAGAGGAACAGAAGTAGCAAACTTGTGCTTGATGGCATTCGGGGAAGATTATAAGGTAACCTTTAACTCATCTGATTTTGATGATTTATCCTATGATGAGTTATTAGAGGAATATAATGGGTTGGCTTTGGATTATGAGAAATTGTTTTTAAAATATAAAAATGATGTTTCAAATTGAAAAATGAAAATAAACTCATATCCAAAACCAACAACGATCTTGAAAGTAAAATCAAAGATTTGCAAATCAAACTAGAAGAGTTTGAAAAGAAAATTTTGGATTTGCAAAATTTACTTTCAAAGGTCAATGATGATCATCAAAAGAAAATTGATGATCTTAAAACTTCTTTTGATAAAGTTGGAACAAAACGTTTTGAAAATGGAGAAAATTCAAAATCCAACTTTGTTAGAAAAAGTTTTAAAAACTACAATCATAGAGGTCCCCAAAGAACCTTTAATGGAAAAATCATTAGAAGTATATGGTTTCCTAAAGAGCTCATTACTACTAAAGATAAGGATATCCTACACAAATGGATACCTAAGGGGACTAGGATTTGGAAACTAATGAATATGAACCCAAAGAATTTGGGGTACCAAAAATTAGAAATAATCTATGTTGTAGGAAAATGAGCATTGCTACAAGGCA